CAGTAGCACCCCCCTGAGTCCCATTGTGACAACCAGAATGTCTCCAGATACTGCCACATACCTCTAGATGGGGAGAGGAGGCAGCAAACTCACCCCCAGTTGAGAACTACTGGGTTAACATACCCCAGCTTAAAAGGTATTAATTGTAAGAACTGTACCAGTCTTTGTACAATAGTGTTAATATTTAAATACCTTTTTTAAGAATTGAATTGTGTTGCATTTTAGGGGGAAAAAAGTAACTAGCATTGTGATTAAGTGACTCCAAGATCACATGGTGTAGTGATAGAGCTAGGATCTAGGTTCCTGATACTCTATCTGGTGCTTTTCCTTCCATACCTTAAAAAAAGCTCTTACCTAATCGACTTTTTTTAAAAACGAAACTTTACATAAATTATACCCCACCACAAATACATAAAGGTGTACATAGGGTTTCTTTTCAGGTTTTGGGTATTCATAAAGCACTGATTTTATTCTTATAGACACAAAATGATTTCATGGTTATCTGCAATGTTGCAAAAATCCTAGAGCTAGTTGTACCACTGATGGAGCATCCAAGTGAAACTTTCCTTGCCACTATTGAAGAAGATCTAATGAAGCTTATCATCAAATATGGCATGACTGTAAGCATTCAGTTTACCATTTCTATATTGATTAGTATACAATTTGCAAATGATAACTTGTAAAATATTATTATATGTCAGAATCAAGTTCCTATATATTATTATATTTTTAAGTAAATATTTGTAAGAATCTAAATTTTTAAAATAGTGTGTTTTTACCTTTAACTTTTACCTAAACGATAACACATTCTGTATCTTTTAGGTAGTACAACATTGTGTGAGCTGTCTTGGGGCCGTTGTAAATAAAGTGACACAAAATTTTAAATTTGTGTGGGCCTGTTTCAATAGATACTATGGTAAGTTCAGTGCCTGAACTTTAAAATTATCCTGCTAGGTTCTGCAGTGTATCCAGCTCATTTTAAACAAACCTGATACAAGCCTAGAATTAAGGAAATTTTAAGAGGTGTGATTGTCCATCATGATCCACTCTCAGATGCAATATTTTCTAGTATCTTTTGTATTCCCTTAAGAATCCACTATGATTACTTAAGAAATTTATCTCCTTATAAGTAAAAGTTGGTAAATTTTCTGCCTGTTATATAAAGTAAAATTAAATATTTTTTCTTACATTAGTTCTTTTAGGCTCTAAAGAGTACCCTAGACATATTTAATACTTAAAACAATTAGTAAAAATTAATTGTAATTCATTAGTAGTTATTATTTGAACATAGTAATTTAAAAATAAAGGGTTTATTATAAATATAACTTATCTTTATTAGGTGCCATTTCAAAATTAAAAAGTCAACACCAAGAGGACCCAAATAATACTTCACTTCTAACAAACAAACCAGCACTTCTTAGATCTCTTTTTACTGTTGGAGCACTATGTCGACATTTTGATTTTGATCTGGAAGATTTTAAAGGCAACAGTAAGGTAAAGATTATAATATTACTTGGAATGCTGTGAAACGCAAAACTGTGTGAGCTGAGAATGACCGTAATAATCCAGGATGAAGGTAGCATTAGAATAGTTTGCTTCAGTTAGAATTCTGAAAATTGCTACTCAAAGTCTGATCCTTGGCCTGGCTGCTGATCCATGAACTATTACTGGTGTGTGACAAGATATGAAGTTTCCGTGACAAGTTATATCAGTTTTGTAACAGTAGGTAACACTTTTGAGATCAACAGCTGACTTTGTTTTTTTTTCCAATGAAGGGAGCAGTATATTGATTTACATTCTGATGCAAGCTGCTTTGCCACAAACTGGTACTTTAAATGCCACTGTTGTAAAATAAATGGAATTGGTGACTTATTTTTCAGTAAAGTTCACGTATGGAAAGTCTCATTATTTGCCTTTAGGTAGTTTTTTTCCTTTATACTTGAAAATTGATCTAAATTACTCTTCTTGAATACTTTAATGTGGTTTTTTTCCCCCCCGTAGGTTAACATAAAGGATAAAGTACTTGAGCTATTGATGTATTTTACAAAACATTCAGATGAAGAAGTACAAACAAAAGCTATCATTGGTCTAGGTAAGTTAAGTCTAAATTTCTTTATAGTTTTTAGCTGTTTGTGATGTGGAGCAAGTTTTTAAATATTTTGAGTCTAAATTGTTGATTTATTTAAATATATTTCTACTAGCAGTAGAATCTGGTCCATGTAGGGTTAGGGGTTAAAACACCTGGAATCCGTTCATGCTGTAGCCAGTGACCTCCTGGGTAACCTTGAGCAAATCACTTAACTTCTCTGTTCATTAGTTTCTTCATTAGTAAAATAGAGATAACGGTCTTATCCCTACTTCAGAGTATCTTAATATTTATTAAAGTACTTTGATAAAGAAAGATGATGTATAAGAAGACGTTTCTATTTGCCTTTTTTTTTTTTTTTTACTGTGAGACAGGGTCTCACTCTGTCATCCAAACGGGAGTACAATGACATGGTCACAGCTCACTGCAACCTTTAGCTCCCAGGCTTAAGCAATCCTCCTGGCTCAGCCTCCCGAGTAGCTAGAGCTATAGGCGTATGCCACGACTCCTGGCTAATTATTTTATTTTTTGTAGAGATAGAGTCACACTGTGTTGCCCAGGATGGACTCAAACTCCTCGGGCTCAAATGATCCT